TTTCACTTCACAATTCCTATGAATATCGTGCATTTGTACTAAAAGGGCATGCTTTTTACTATTCTTAGCCATCGAGAACATGCTGAGGCGACACAAGAAGATGACAAGCGATAGAGTTATGCATGAAAACGCATGCATTATTTATATATTAGCCTCTTTATTCAACTGTATCCTGACAGTCAAGAGAGAATTGTGAAAGCGTCTATAACGAGTACATCTAGACGCGTCATGTCAGGTGCTCGTTCGGTGTTAAAACATGTTACTGACTTGTCTATAATATCTCTTTGCCTTGTTTTGGAGATACGTAGGGGTGATGTCGAACTCACTCTCCATTCCTTAAACATAATGGGGGGCACGGGTGGCCCAGTCGTCTAAGGCGCCGCGATTCGCTGTGCCAGAGTTGCGTCCCTTGGGCACGCCAGAAACCTATGATTGTGGGTTCGAATCCCGGTTCGCCCCGATTATGTTTCTAGGTTTGTAAGCACCATACCCGTGCTCGTGGGTTTCACCGAAGTGGTAAACGTCTGAGACCTGCATCACTTCGGGCTTTCCTCCCACATTAAGCTGACACGCCGCGATATAACTAGAATACTGTTAAAAGCGGCGTTAAACCAACTCACTCACTCACTTAAAAATAATGGAGCAGAGGCCCCGCAATGGCCGAGGCCAATTATTTTTCAGAAATGGAGGGTTACGAGGATATTCTCCGATTTAATTTAATCAATCGCTTGCACATTGTAAATATACATGATGACTGGGATGATAGGAAATATAGAGCCCCGAACAAGGATATGTATGTGTTTACCTGAAGGTTTATCTAATTACAGGCTCTAATTACAGGCTAATTATCTAGTCAGGCTCGCTGACTTGGTTGATGCATGTCATCGATCCAATTGCATATATCGATGCTCATGATGTAAATCACTGGATTGTCTGGTCCAGACTCGATTATTTACAGACCGCCGTCATATAGCTGGAATATTGCTGAGTGCGGCGTTAAACTACAAACCAACCAACCAATCTAATTACTATGAATATGAACACTGCCAAAGGTAACCTGCTCTAAAACAACATTATATACAAAATTATGCATAATTATCATTTTTGAGCTTTTAAGAATTATGAAAAATTATGAAAACATTTAATAGTTAATTTCGCACCATATCTTCATGTGCCGCCGTAGCCGAGGTGGACAGTTACACAACCACAAATCAAACGATGCAGGTTCGTATCTCGCGGTTGATACATGTTTTCCGACAAAATTTGAAATAATACACTTGCCAACATATTTTAAGTATAGTTCTGTCAATATCAAGTGCAACTTAATTGAAATGTTTGTTTAAGATGATGTATAATTGAAATTAATGGAGCATTTGAACAATACAATGACGTCACAGTTGTGTTTAAACTTACAATGAAACCTCATTAACCCGGACCCGTTAAACCGTTACTTCTTAACGATTACTGGCGCCCCGCGGTATAACTGGAATAATGTTAAAAGCGGCGTTAAACCCAACTCACTCACGCACTACACTCTACTGACAAATGGTGAGTGAGTGAGTGAGTATCGTTTTAAGCGGCTTTCAGCAATATCACGGCGGGGGACACCAGTAATTGGCTTCACACCTCGTACCCATATTGGGAATCGAACCTGGGTCTTCGGCGTGACGAGCGAACGCTTTAACCACTGGGCTACCCCACCGTGCCCAGTCCTAACAATGCCAGCTCTATTCTCGGAGCTTAATTGTGTGTGCCTCGGGACACTGTGCACGTAAACATCAACTCCAAATATTGGGGACTGTGACCTTCATATTGATTCTCAGTGTTTTTGAGATAAACGAGGTTGCGAATACTTGACAAGAGTGAGTGAATATTACTTTATGTCGCAGTTAGCAATATTTCAGGTGTATTACGGCTACTTGTAAATCTCGAGTCAGGATCCGGTAAACCGGTGATTGATAACGAGAGCATCGTGTCAGTTATGCTGTCGCTTTATGACGAGAAAGGGGCGGTCGGGTAGCCTGGTGGTTAAAGCGTTCGCTCGTCACGCCGAAGACCCGGGCTTGACTCCCGACATGGGTACAATGTGTGAAGCCAATTTCTGGTGTCCCCCTCCGTGATATTGCTGGAATGTTGCTCAAAGTGGCGTAAAACCATACTAACTCACTTATGACGACATACGATCAGCCTTGTCACACACATCCAATACGGCGCCTCAGAAACTCGGTCATCCGATGTCTCCCTCACTGCAGATAAAACCGCCTTCGTAGTCTAGTGGTAGAGCGTCCGCCCGGAGTGCGGAATGTCCGGGGTTTGATCCCCGGCCGCGTCATACCAAAAGACGTAATAAGATGGTACTTTTTTAACCCTGTCTGGCGCTCGGCATTAAGGGGCTAAAACAAGGACTGGTCAGCTCGGAGTCAGTATACAGTGTCTGAGTGGGGTATTCATGTTAAACTGCGGCATGGTATCTCAGTGAGCTAGCACGATAAATCGGCATCAGTCCGGACTAGTACAAGCAGCCACACACGTACACGTACATGCACGTCGCTATATAAGTTCAATAATCTTGGACGCGACGTTAAACCCAATTTCACCTCACCTCACTGCAGATACAGAGTCAGTGTTCTTTGGTTACTGATCCAGACATAGCATTAAAAGGGCCACATATGATTGCAACTAGATGTGTGTAGCCATGGGCTTTGTATGAAGCGTTCATTTGGGGAGAATTTAGAAAAGAAACACCGTCTTCTGATTACTGTCTGTCTGTCTGTCTGTTTGTTTGTTGTTTAACTCAGCACTCAACAATATTCTAGCTATATGACGGCGATCTGTAAATAATCGAGACTGGACCAGACAATCCAGTGATTGACACCCTGACCATCGATCCACGCAATTGGGATACGATGACATGCGTCAACCAAGTCAGCGAGCCTGACACCCGATCCCGTTAGTCGCCTTTTACGACAAGCATAGTCGCCTTTTACGGCAAGCATGGGTTGCTGAAGACCTACTCTTCCCCGGATCTTCACGGGTCTCTGATTACTGTATTTGGTTGAATGTGAGAATGTGTTTTGTCACGGTATACTCTCTACTGACACATGGTGAGTGAGTGAGTGAGTGAGTGCGTGAGTATTGTTTGACGCCGCCTTTAACAACATTACAGCAATGTCACGACGGGGGACACCTTCAAACGTCGAGGCTAATTCCTATGTACAGTGAAATCCCTGGGCACATGTCTGAAACTCTACATGTAAAACTGCAAACGTGGGATTTCTATTCATGCAATGGTCTGCCCAGCATGATTCTGTATTGAACGAGCAACGACAGGTACACCGTGCTTTGTAAAGATTCACTACACACAGAAATGTCCACAATGGTGTGGACGTCACTTAGATACTCCGGGATACAACACGATCAGCGCTGACACAACGCCAGTAGCCGACATGGCGGACCATCGCAGGCAGTGAGGTAAGTTCCTGGTAGATAGTTCTGGAGGCTTGGAGTACTAGACTGTAAAAGCATGGACTTATTTGGTGAGTGAGTGAGTGAGTTAAAATTTATAGTCACATCGGCAGTATTTCAGCCATATCGGGACTTATTTGGGTAAAACCGGCATATTCGTGATTCAGATACATGACATGACTATCTACACTCCTACACATGACAGACTTCACATCACACATTCATATCTATTTGTACACATAACTGTCCGTTCATCACGCCGACATATCCAGTTTTACATGACTGGTCTTATATCACATATGCATATCAAGTTTTACATGACTGGTCTTATATCACACATGCATATCCAGTTTTACATGACTGGTCTTATATCGCGCACGCATATCCGGTTTTACATGACAGGTCTTATATCACACATGCTTATCCAGTTTTACATGACTGGTCTTATATCACGCATGCATATCTAGTTTTACATGACCGACCACTCATCACGCCGACATATCCAGTTTTACATGAATGGTCTTATATCACACATGCATATCCAGTTTTACATGACTGGTCTTATATCACGCATGCATATCTAGTTTTACACGATTGGCCTTATATGACGCATGCATATCCAGATTTACATGGCTGGCCTTATATGACGCATGCATATCCAGTTTTACATGTCTGGTCTTATATAGCGCATGCATATCCAGTTTTACATGAATGGTCTTATATCCAGTTTTACATGACTAGTCTTACATCACGCATGCATATCCAGTTTTACATGACTGGTTTTATATCACACATGCATATCCAGTTTTACATGACTGGTCTTATATGACGCCGACATATCCAGTTTTACATGACAGGTCTTATATCACACATGCTTATCCAGTTTTACATGACTGGTCTTATATCACACATGCATATCCAGTTTTACATGACTGGTCTTAAATCACGCCGACATATCCAGTTCTACATGACTGGTCTTATATCACGCATACATATCAAGTTTTACATGACTGGTCTTAAATCACGCATGCATATCCAGCTTTACATGACTGGTCTTATATCACGCATACATATCTAGTTTTACATGACTGGTCTTATATCTCGCCGACATATCTAGTTTTACATGACTGGCCTTATATCACGCCGACATATCCAGTTTTACATGACCGACCATTCATCACGCCGACATATCCAGTTTTACATGAATGGTCTTATATCACGCATGCATATCAAGTTTTACATGACTGGTCTTAAATCACGCATGCATATCCAGTTTTACATGACTGGTCTTATATCACGCATACATATCTAGTTTTACATGACTGGTCTTAAATCACGCCGACATATCCAGTTTTACATGAATGGTCTTATATCACGCATACATATCAAGTTTTACATGACTGGTCTTAAATCACGCATGCATATCCAGCTTTACATGACTGGTCTTATATCACGCATACATATCTAGTTTTACATGACTGGCCTTATATCTCGCATGCATATCTAGTTTTACATGACTGGCCTTATATCACGCATACATATCTAGTTTTACATGACTGGCCTTATATCACGCATGCATATCCAGTTTTACATGACTGGCCTTATATCACGCATACATATCTAGTTTTACATGACTGGTCTTATATCACGCATGCATATCCAGCTTTACATGACTGGCCTTATATCTCGCATGCATATCTAGTTTTACATGACTGGCCTTATATCTCGCATGCATATCTAGTTTTACATGACTGGCCTTATATCACGCATACATATCTAGTTTTACATGACTGGTCTTATATCACGCATACATATCCAGTTTTACATGACTGGTCTTATATCACACATGCTTATCCAGTTTTACATGACTGGTCTTATATCACGCATGCATATCTAGTTTTACATGACCGACCACTCATCACGCCGACATATCCAGTTTTACATGAATGGTCTTATATCACACATGCATATCCAGTTTTACATGACTGGTCTTATATCACGCATGCATATCTAGTTTTACACGATTGGCCTTATATGACGCATGCATATCCAGATTTACATGGCTGGCCTTATATGACGCATGCATATCCAGTTTTACATGTCTGGTCTTATATAGCGCATGCATATCCAGTTTTACATGAATGGTCTTATATCCAGTTTTACATGACTGGTCTTACATCACGCATGCATATCCAGTTTTACATGACTGGTTTTATATCACACATGCATATCCAGTTTTACATGACTGGTCTTATATGACGCCGACATATCCAGTTTTACATGACAGGTCTTATATCACACATGCTTATCCAGTTTTACATGACTGGTCTTATATCACACATGCATATCCAGTTTTACATGACTGGTCTTAAATCACGCCGACATATCCAGTTCTACATGACTGGTCTTATATCACGCATACATATCAAGTTTTACATGACTGGTCTTAAATCACGCATGCATATCCAGCTTTACATGACTGGTCTTCTATCACGCATACATATCTAGTTTTACATGACTGGTCTTATATCTCGCCGACATATCTAGTTTTACATGACTGGCCTTATATCACGCCGACACATCCAGTTTTACATGACCGACCATTCATCACGCCGACATATCCAGTTTTACATGAATGGTCTTATATCACGCATGCATATCAAGTTTTACATGACTGGTCTTAAATCACGCATGCATATCCAGTTTTACATGACTGGTCTTATATCACGCATACATATCAAGTTTTACATGACTGGTCTTAAATCACGCATGCATATCCAGCTTTACATGACTGGTCTTATATCACGCATACATATCTAGTTTTACATGACTGGCCTTATATCTCGCATGCATATCTAGTTTTACATGACTGGCCTTATATCACGCATACATATCTAGTTTTACATGACTGGCCTTATATCACGCATGCATATCCAGTTTTACATGACTGGCCTTATATCACGCATACATATCTAGTTTTACATGACTGGTCTTATATCACGCATACATATCCAGCTTTACATGACTGGCCTTATATCTCGCATGCATATCTAGTTTTACATGACTGGCCTTATATCTCGCATGCATATCTAGTTTTACATGACTGGCCTTATATCACGCATACATATCCAGCTTTACATGACTGGCCTTATATCTCGCATGCATATCTAGTTTTACATGACTGGCCTTATATCTCGCATGCATATCTAGTTTTACATGACTGGCCTTATATCACGCATACATATCTAGTTTTACATGACTGGTCTTATATCACGCATACATATCCAGCTTTACATGACTGGCCTTATATCTCGCATGCATATCTAGTTTTACATGACTGGCCTTATATCTCGCATGCATATCTAGTTTTACATGACTGGCCTTATATCACGCATACATATCCAGCTTTACATGACTGGCCTTATATCTCGCATGCATATCTAGTTTTACATGACTGGCCTTATATCTCGCATGCATATCTAGTTTTACATGACTGGCCTTATATCACGCATACATATCTAGTTTTACATGACTGGCCTTATATCACGCATGCATATCAAGTTTCACATGATCGTCCATACATCATGCATGTCTAGGTTTACTTGACTTTTCGCAAATTGAAAATTTGGTTGTATTCAGATTAACATCTTGATATTCTTTCACTTATCATATCCCCTCATTCACATGGCCGTAGGAGCTGGTCCAAACATTGCATTCACACATACGAGTTCACGATGTCTTTTTACACAACTGTTGACATAGTTACTGCATGCGTCAATAACGCGTGTATTGCTCAAGGTAATAATTGGACCCTTTGAAACCCGTTTACAGTCGGAACAATCAGAAACCTCACCATATAACGGTCTGATCACGTAGCTTAACTCTGCACTGTTATGTACGTATGGCTATGCCGCTAGACAGGATCACAATGAGAAACTGTTTAATTACGAGTCTTGGAAAAAACGTAAATCCAAAGCACCAGCTGTCCATGCGACAGAAATTGTGTTGAAAGTTGTCTCTGGTTTTCTAAATACAGCAAACTACGGTTATAACGAACTCAAAGGGACCACTAATTTTAGTTCGTTATAACCGTAGTTCGTTATAAGCATACATACAGCTTTACTACAGCAAATAGTCGGGACAAAAAAAGTAAGTTCGTTATATCCGTCAGTTCGTTATAAGCGTGTTCGTTATAAACGTAGTTTACTGTATGGCGATGGTGTTTGATTGTTTTACGCCCGAGTATGTAGTTTCCAGGAGAGAAGGTGGCAACAGGTGGTGCACTTGTGCCCAATGCCTTTGTCTTTTTGGACAATAAAATAGGTGAGGTGGGGTGAGGAGAAATGGGGTTTAACGTCGCGTTAAAGATTATTGTACTTATATAGCGACGTGCATGCACGTGTGCATGCGTAGCTGCCTGTACTAGTCCGGTCTGATGCAGATTTATAGAGCTAGGACACTTAGATACCATGCCGCACTTTAACATGAATACCCCACTCAGACACAGTATACTGACTCCGAGCCGACCAGTCCTTGTTTTAGCCCCTTAATGCCGAGCGCCAGACAGGGTAACAACAAGTACCATCTGTTAACGTATTTTGGTATGACGCGGCCGGGGATCGAACCCCGGACCCTCCGTTCTCTCGGGCGAACGCTCTACCACTAGACCACGGAGGCGGTCGACAATAAAATATGTTTTATATATATATGTTGTTGTCCAGTTATACGACGATTTTCTTGAAATAATCGAATCCTGGCCATGTGATTCATGGTACACTGAACAAAACAAGTTACGGATCATGAATATTTTTGGGGATATTAATATATTGTGTACTGTCTTCACCCCAAAAATATCCCCCAAAATAGTCATTCCCCCAAACTGTATTTTTCAGTGTGTGTGTTACGTCTCACGTCGTCGGGTACGATGACGCGCTATCCATCACGTGACCATCGGATCCATTTAGTCGCCTCTTTCAACAAGCCTAGTTATTGGAACCAGTTCCATCGCGGAATCTTTTCAGGTGCAAACAAATTAACATGACACCAAATATTTTCGTTTTGTATTGACGTGATAAATCGACGTCAAAGTACAAAAGATGAAATAGAACCCTTCTAATAGTACCGAATACCATATATTACTCTCAACAAAAGCCGTGATAGTGCTTGATGCCATATTCATAGCATGAAATGAATAGCTGTCACTAGAGCCTGCAATTACTAATCTTTTCTAGCGGGTGCGTACAGTGAATACACACCAAATCAGATCGGTTTGTTAACTACAATGGGTTTTATTGGCTACGCCCTGCACAAACCGTTTGCCACACTGGCTGAATAGCCCCGATATGATAGACTGAATTGATCAGAGATACTGACGGTGTGTAGACATCAAACGCAGGACGGGGGACAACGTATTTAAACAGCATTTCGCTGTGTGTCACTGGATGTCTTTCAGTTATATACAAGGACAAACAGTATCCATAGTGTGTCACTATAGTAAGGATGTCTTTCAGTTATATACAAGGGCATACAGTATCCATAGTGTGTCACTATAGTAAGGGCCAAGATGGAGTTTCTATTAGCCGACGCAATCCATTGTACAGACTTGCGTCCCTGAGCCGTGACAAGGTCCCAACGGACTGCATGACAAAATAAATATCATTAATTACACTTGTGAGAATGAAAACAGGGTGTAGTATAAAGTAGCATTGAACATCAAAGCTATTGGATCGAACCGTATTGTTGAGCTGGTTTAACGTTGAGTTGGCTTTGAACAGTATTTCAGTTGTATCACACTGAATCAAGTTAATGATGAACGAAGGCCTACACAGACACAGATTGCATAGTGTTAAAATAACGGCCAAAATTATAGGAATGGGTCAGTTAAAATCAGTGATGATACCTGGTGTTCGCTTCCAAGATGGTACTTGTTGTTACCCTGGCTGGCGCTCGGCATTAAGGGGCTGAAACAAGTACTGGTCGGCTAGGAATCAGTGTACTGTGTCTGAGTGGGGTATTCATGTTAAACTGTGGCATGGTATCTCAGTGGCCTAGCACGATAAAATCGGCATTCGTCCGGACTAGTACAAGCAGCCACGCACTTCATCTGTATGTTTATCTGGGACATATTCGGTCATTTACTAGCTGTCGTAATATAAATATAAGATTAATTAGCGCAAAACTCTCCTGCCTGTATTTTAGTTGTTAATTTTCATCGATGATGCATTGTTAAAAAAACACTGTGCAGAGTTGCGTCCCTTAGACATGGAAAAACCCAAGATCATGTGTTCGAAAATCGGTTCCTCTTGATTTTGGTTCTTGGTTTGTCAGCTCTATCCCTGTGTTCATGGGTTTCATCAAAGAGGTACACGTCTGAGGTCTAAAACACTTCGGGCTTTCCTCACACATGAAGCTGATACGCCAGATATAATTGAAAACAAATGTTAAAAGCAGTTTTAAAATCAAACCACTCACTCATTATGACACCACAAAACATTATAGTGAGTGAGTGAGTGAATGAGTTGGGTTTAACGCCGCTTTTAACAGTCTTCCAGTTATATCACGGCGAGTCAGCTTAATGTGGGAGAAAAGCCCGAAGTGATGCAGGTCTCAGACGTTTACCACTTCGGTGAAACCCACGAGCACGAGTATGGTGCTGACAACCCTAGAAACATAATCGGGACGAACCGGGACTCGAACCCACAATCACAGGTTTCTGGTAGCCCAAGGTACGGAACTCTGCACAGCGAATCGCGGCGCCTCAGACGACTTGCAAACCCGTGCCCCCAAAACATTTTAAGAAATCACTTGTTTTCTTTTCAGATTTGATCAGTACATTCCTGACCGGTCTCCGAAGGAAATCCATGACAATGAACAAGAACCAAGTCAAACAGAAAGTAGGAATCACCCTTCCCCAAGCATGCGAACAGGGGAAGCTGGACACTATCAGAGTCATACTGACACAAACCCCAGAGGAACTGCATGTCAAGGGGAAGATGGGAAGAACCCCTGTCATGGTTGCTGCAGTCACAGGACAAAAGGATGCCTTGACGCTTCTCATCAGGCAAGGGAGTGACCTGTCGCTTGTTGATGATGATGGCGAAAACATACTTCATTTGGCTTGTACGGGCGGTAACGCGGAAGTCGTCAAGATCATCCTGGTGCAGAAAGCAGTTGCCATCGACAGCAGAGGGAAGTATGGACGAACTCCTTTGATGATAGCTGCTTACTATGGACACCAAGCGGTTTATGATTTGCTGGAGAGTAGGAAATGTGCCATGAAACTCTTGGACGATCACGACGACAACATTCTACACATAGCTTGTCTTGGTGGCAAGATTGACATGGTGAGACACATTCTGTCTCAAAGGATAATTGGCATTGAGAGCAGAGGGCAGTTTGGGCAGACCGCGTTAACGAAGGCAGCAAGGATGGGCCACGCTGAGGTGTTTGATTTACTGATTGAAAATGGAAGCAATTTTTCCATAGTGGATTATGGTGGTGATAACATTCTTCACGTCGCCTGCCTCAGTGGTAATGTTGATCTTGTGACGTCTCTCCTGCTCTCTAAAAGAATACTGGACCTGGAGTGTCGCGGTCAGTATGGAAGGACCCCACTGATGAAAGCAGCTGAGAAAGGACATCGTGGTATCTATGACTTGCTGGTCAGCAAGGGTTGTAATCTGTCCGTACTCGATGATGATGGTAACAACATACTCCATGTCGCCTGCTGTGGGGGTGATGTGCACATGGTGAAACATGTACTATGCAATAAACAGTTTGGTGCCGAGGATCGAGGCAAATTTGGAAGGACACCACTCATGATGGCAGCTGAAAAGGGGCAAATCCGGGTCTTTGATTCCCTCATCAACAGAGCTTGTGACATCAAGGCTTTGGACTTTCAAGGATACAACGTCCTCCACGTTGCATGTTTTGGTGGGGACATTGATATGGTGAGTCATGTTCTTACCAAAACAAAACTGGACATCGAAAGCAAGGGACAATATGGCAGAACACCGTTAATGGTTGCAGCAAACAAGGGACACAAGAGACTCTTTGAATTTCTTGTCAGCATGGGCTGTGACGTGGCAGCAGTGGATGAGGACACCAATAATATTCTCCATGTAGCTTGTCAAGGAGGCAGTTTGGGCATGGTGAAGTACATAATCTCTCAGAAGATATTTCCTGCAGAGGTGAAGGGGAAGCTAGGACGCACGCCAGTCATGCATGCCGCATATTTTGGTCAGAACGAAGTCTTTGACTATTTGGTGAGCAAAGGGTGCAGTTTGTCAGTGATTGATAGTGATGGAGACACAATTCTACACATGACCTGCTATGGCGGAAATCAGGAACTAGTTGAAGCTGTTCTCTCGAAAGGGTTGGTTGGTATTGAAACCAAGGGCAAGTATGGCAGAACACCCGTCATGACTGCAGCCGATTTTGGTCACATGAATATCTTTGATTTTCTGGTCAGCAAGGGGTGTGATCTCTCTGTAGTGGACGCCAATGGTGACAATATCCTCCATGTTGCCTGCTACTGTGGCAATGTGGATATGGTCATGCATCTAATATCCCAAAAGGTCTGTGGCATCGAATCCAGAGGAAAATATGGAAGGACTCCTATTATGCAAGCAGCATTCTTTGGTCGCATCGATGTGTTCGAGTTGCTTCTCAATGAAGGGGCTGATTTATCAGTCGCTGATGATGACGGAGATAATATTCTTCATGTTGCATGTCTTGGAGGCAATGTTACCATGGTGAAGGTGATCGTCTCAAAGGATGTTCTTCCCCTAGAAAGCAGGGGGAAATATGGAAGAACTGGAGTCATGCATGCTGCAAACAAAGGACATAGGGACGTGTTGGACCTGCTGGTTACGAATGGGTGTGATCTTTCTGTGATGGATAGCAATAAAGACAATGTTCTCCACCTAGCAACCAAAGGTGGGAGTGTGGACACATTGCACTACATCCTTTCACAGAAGGTATTGGACATTGACGCCAAGGGCCAGTATGGCCAAACAGCTTTGATAAAGGCAGCACGAACATCTCACACGAGCGTAGTGGACTTACTCTTGTCTGAAGGGAGTTCAAAGCTTGCTGTGGATAATTACAACGACAACATCCTCCACGTTGCCTGTCTTGGGGGAAACCTGAACATGGTGACCCACATCGTGTCTCTGAAGATAGTTGACCTCGCAAGTCGAGGGAAACATGGAAGAACAGGATTAATTATTTCGGCACAGAAGGGACACATACCTGTCTTTGACTTCCTTGTGAGTGAAGGAAGTGATGTGAAGACCGTAGATGATCACGGTGACAACGTCCTTCACCAGGCATGTTTCCATGGCAACGAAGACATGGTCAACCACATTGTCGCTCTGGACATCATCAGTGTAGAGAGCAAGGGCTGGTATGGCCAAACACCAGTGATGAAGGCAGCAAGTGCCGGTCACAGACACATCTTCGATTTACTTGTGAGCAAGGGCTGCAACACTTCCTTTGTGAATGCTGACGGTGATAATGTACTTCACGTTGCTTGTCAGGGTGGTAATTTGGACATGGTGAACCATATCATTGCCTCAAAAATAGGGGGGATAGAAAGTAAGGGAAAGTATGGCCAGACTCCTGTCATGAAAGCAGTTAGTATGGGGCACAAAGGCGTGTTTGTCCTTCTTGTGAGCAAGGAGTGTGACATGACAGCAGTTGACGATGACGGTGACAACATTTTCCATGTAGCCTGTTATGGAGGTAACATAGACATTGTCAAGTACCTCGTCACGCTTCAGGGCGTCGTGGATATCCATAAGAAAAACAAAGCTGGAAAAACACCGTTACAAGTTGCTGAAACGTGTGGGTACAAGTCAATAGTTGAGATCCTCAACGAAGAATCCTCTTAGCTATTCCTTGATGTGACTCCACACCTCCATGACTAACCCCTTGGGATTTCTGGGTTCGAATTGGCCCACAGCAACCTATGCTTAACGTAAGAGGCGACAAAATGGATCCGGTGGTCAGGCTCGGTGATTTGGTTTATAAGGTGTCCTTGTACCGTGACTGCGTGGGTCGTGTCTCACAATATCGTTCACAGTGATGTCGATTATTTACAAGCTGTCGTCATGGCTCAGTGAGGCGTTACACAACAAACAAACCAACAATGTTAAACCATATCATTGCCTCGAAAATAGGGAAATAGAAAGCAAGGGAAAATATGACCAGACCCCTGTAATGACGGCAGTTTGTATGGGACACAAGGGAGTGCTTGTCCTTCTTCAAGCAGTGTATTCATATGCTTCGGGGGAATTTCATTTTGCAATTGGATGAGTGCTTGATTGGTTTTAGTACTAGTGAAAATGTTTTCTTTTCATCCATGTCAGTTAATTCAGACCGTCTGGAATTTTGCACTGGCAAAGCTTAAACAGTTGTAGGACATTAATTCTCTTATATCAAAATTAGTCTCATTTTATTTAACTTAGTAATCTCGAATGTAGTTTCAAACCGGTACATAATAATAACATCCTCCGCTTTCGTTTATGATTTACATTGACTGTAAACGTGCAAGCTGTTTATACAATTTTGGGTAGGCTGATCATGTAGGTATTTCTTTCCTTACATTCTATATCATACTCAAAAATAACATGTAGGACACTAGTCACACAACGTGCAAGCAATTTATGCATTCTGGATAGGTTGCATCATGTAGGTTTTTGTTTCCTTACATTCTATATCATACTCAAAAATAACATGTAGGACACTAGTCACACAACGCGTCCAGAGTAGCTGGTAGTGATCTTGAAACTGCATGGCATACAATGCAATACAAGTTGTTCGGTGAAGAAAGGCATCGTTGAAAGATATGGCAAAAACAGATGGTCACAGCTAGGATGAAAGCTGCTTATTGTTTCACGGTTACAGATTGTACATCCTGGACATTATTTTGAAAGGGGGGGGGGGTATTGCGTTTGTTTTCACGCAACTAGATCGTTATTACAGTCACATAGCGGTATGTCGGCATGCGCTGGGACGACGCTCAAAGTAAGGCAGGTCATAGAGGTCTTTGGGGCAGCCCAAGAGCAAGGGAATAGTTGTGACAAACCAAAGATCATAATCAGAGGGATTCGTACACACGTGCATTCATTCAGGCACTACCAGTCCACACAACTTTTTGACGACTGGTTACCATACCGTGCCCCCAAGGCAGTCTCCTCAATCTATTGCTAAATTTACCACAAATATACAGAGCTTAGATGGTCAGTATGGACGATGAATATAATTCTTTCTTCCCTTGTAATTCAGGTGATATCAGCGAAATAAAAGATGTACCTTTTTTGTTTATTGCATTTGTGATTTTCAAAGGACTATTATCGACCACTGGGTGAAATATTATAATTGATTCGCAGAACAATCGCTTAAGCGATTCAATGTACGTTCAACTGTCTTCACTACATTTGTTTTGAGTCACAATGTGACCAGTGCTTAAGTGTTATGATACAGAATCACATATGTCACTGTCTTGTGTCATGATACAGAATCACATATATCACTGTCTTGTGTCATGATACAGAATCATATATGTCACTGTCTTGTGTCATGATACAGAATCACATATATCACTGTCTTGTGTCATGATACAGAATCACATATATCACTGTCTTGTGTCATGATACAGAATCATATATGTCCCTGTCTTGTGTCATGATACAGAATCACATATATCACTGTCTTGTGTCATGATACAGAATCACATATCTCACTGTCTTGTGTCTTGATACAGAATCATATATGTCACTGTCTTGTGTCATGACACAGAATCACACAGGTCAAGTCAAGTGGCACAGAATTATCCAGGTCACTGTCTTATGTCATTACACAGCATTATCCAGGTCACTGTCTTGTGTCATGACACAGCATTATCCAGGTCACTGTTTTGTGTCATGACACAGCATTATCCAGGTCACTGTCTTGTGTCATGACACAGAATTATCCAGGTCACTGTCTTGTGTCATGATACAGAATTATCCAGGTCACTGTCTTGTGTCATGACACAGAATTATCCAGGTCACTGTCTTGTGTCATGACACAGAATTATCCAGGTCACTGTCTTGTGTCATGACACAGAATCACACAGGTCAAGGCAAGTGGCACAGAATTATCCAGGTCACTGTCTTATGTCAAGACACAGCATTATCCAGGTCACTGTCTTGTGTCATGACACAGCATTATCCAGGTCACTGTTTTGTGTCATGACACAGCATTATCCAGGTCACTGTCTTGTGTCATGACACAGAATCATTCGGGTCACTGTCGAGTGTCATGACACAGAATTATCCAGGTCACTGTCTTGTGTCATGACACAGAATTATCAAGGTCACTGTCTTGTGTCATGACACAGAATTATCAAGGTCACTGTCTTGTGTCATGACACAGAATTATCCAGGTCACTGTCTTGTGTCATGACACAGAATTATCCAGGTCACTGTCTTGTGTCATGACACAGCATAGTCCAGGTCACTGTCTTGTGTCATGACACAGAATTATCAAGGTCACTGTCTTGTGTCATGACACAGAATTATCCAGGTCACTGTCTTGTGTCATGACACAGAATTATCCAGGTCACTTTCTTGTGTCATAACACAGAATTATCCAGGTCACTGTCTTGTGTCATAACACAGAATCAGATCATTCATTGACATACTTGTTGATACTGGATAATCAACAATGGCATAGAGCGATGTATCTTCAGCAAACAAGTTATATATATATATATCACATTGGATATTACAGACAATCTCATTTATGAATGCTAAAAGTAATGAGGGTCCCAACACTGAACCTTGCGGAACACCGACAAGTACAGATTTGCTGTCCATTAATATCTGTATGTTGCTTTCAACCAGTTAAGTAACTTTGGAATCATTTTAAGAGAGCCCCTTATATCCCATACTTGCTCAATATATTTATAAAACCTTTGTGCCCGACCACGATCGAAAGCTTTACTACTGGAACATAATATTGCTGTGTCCATCCTTGCCTGTGAAATCGTAAAGCTGGGTTAGTTGGTAGACAGTTGAGTCACCGGCGGTAAACCCGGATGGCAAACTAGAAATAACCTGATTATCCAAGAAATAACTGTACACAAGTTTAAAAACACACTTTTCAAATGCTTTTTGAGAGGCAACTTGCTGGCGCGATCGGCCTATGATTACAACAAGCATGGACATCATTTTCCGTACAAATTGGGATTACTGACGACTGTTTCCATGACACAGGAAAGATATGTTGGGGCAGAGATAAATTAAATAACTGAACAAGTGGTTTCGATTAAACAATAGCCAAAATCTTAAATATTCGATTACTTATCATACCAGGGCAGTAGATTTCGGTGCGTCAAGTGACAATAATACATCCTCTCATTCTTTCTCAGATACATTTATACCAGAGGAAACGTTTACGTGTATTGAGTGAGTGAGTGAGTTGTAAATAACGCTGCTTCCAGCAGTTTTACAGTTGCATCACGCCGTGTCATCGGGAGAGAAAGCTGTAATGCAAGTCTTATACGTGTACCAGTTTGATAAAACCCACGAGCACGGGCATGGTGTTGTCAAACCAGGGCGAACTGGGATTCGACCCCATAAGTATAGGATTACGCCATGCCTTAGGCACAAGGGGCATGCAACAATGCACAGCGCACAGCAGTGGCTCAGACAACAGATCAAAGACGTTAGCCTTGCACATGAGTGCTAAACAGAAGAACGGAGGCAACGTCGTTTAGGCTGTGAGAATTCTGTAATGAGGAATGCCTGACTTCAAAAACAATACCTTTATTTACCAATACCAATACATTTGAAAAAATACCTGTTCAACCTTGACCTAATTGAAAGAACCCCGAACAGGCGAACATTAACGACTTTGAGACCAATTCCGTAAGATTTTTCTAACGAGGACTTCTCTCAACTCTAAAAGCTACGAAAACAAAACCAATAACACACTCTCGCGCGCGCACGCACGCACGCACGCACACATTCTCACTTACTCACTCACTCACACACACTCACATACACAAACTCACACAAAGTGTCGCAAAAGAACGACACACACATACACAGACACAGAGGCAGTGTTTGACGCATTAACGTGAATGTTTAATATAATTTCAGTGAGTGAGTGAGATTTTACGCCACTTTTAGCAATATTCCAGCAATATCACGGCGGGGGACATAGAAATGGGCTTCGCACATTGTACCCATGTCGGGAATCGAACCCGGTCTTCGGCGTGACGAGCGAACGCTGTAACCATTAGGCTACCCGACCGCCCCCTAATAATATAATATGACATGGTCACTGGAGGAAAGTGACCATTTCACATGATCTTCTTTGTTACTTCACACTTCCCGGCCTTTCAGAGTCCTGGATTCGCTTCTGAACAATAATAAATTTATCTTTTACAATTAAAGTCAAGTCAGTGGTTTCACATACATCTCTTCAGCATTGTATCCTTCACCACCACTGGCAGTTGTTGACGAAGGAACATGCAACAACAAACAAAAGGATTTACCTGCAGGATATAAAACATGTCATGCAACCAAACGCTGCTGACATGGTCTTTATTTTTTAACTAAATATGACAAGAAAACCAGGAAACATCTCTATTTTAATTTGTCATTTGTGACATTGATTGAAATACGTGTCAGTTCGAGCACGTGTTGATGTTATCATGGTGCCCCCCCCCCCCCCCCCCCCTCCCACGAATTCGTGAATCAGAGCAATCACAAGATTCCAGGTCAACGCGATATGACAAAATTAGCTCTTGATTGCTTTGATGTGTGTGTGTGTGTGTGTGTGTGTGTGTGTGTGTGTGTGTGTGTGTGTGTGAGAGTATGCTTGTTTGTTGTTTAACGTCCGCACTCACCAATATTCCAGCGGTCTGTAAATAATCGAGTCTGGACCAGACAATCCAGTGATTAATATCATGAGCATCGATCCACGCAATTGTGATCGATGACATGCATCAACCAAGTCAGCAAGCCTGACCATTCGATCCCGTTAGTGGCCTCTTACGGCAAGCATAGTCGCCTTTTACGGCAAGCATGTGTTGCTGAAGACCTATTCTACCCGGGGTCTTCACGGGTCGAACGTACATGTAGTTGGTTGGTTTGTTGTTTAACGCCGCACTCAGCAATATTCTAGCTGTATGACGGCGGTCTGTAAATAATCGAGTCTGGACCAGACAATCCAGTGATTAATATCCTGAGCATCGATCCACGCAATTGGGATCGATGACATGTATAAACCAAGCCTGACCACCCGATCCCGTTAGTCGCCCTTTTACGGCAAGCATGTGTTGCTGAAGACCTATTTTACCCCGGATCTTCACATGTAGATGTAGGGCACAATTTGTGAATAAGATGTGTACACAAGGTGTAAATTCAGATAGAACTATTCTCACGGGCACAAGAGACTGATCAAATAAATTCAATAAGTATGATGGTATGAATATTTAATTGGTTCACATTAAAATTCAACGAAATTCAAAATCGTCACAAAGAACACATTTAATCTTCATAGAAAAAGTGGAATTGCTGATTTGTGTAATTCTAATAATATGTAATACATTTAAAATGAACATGTTCGGTTTGTTCACTTTTGTAATATGCACATTGATTTCAAAAGTCAACGCCAGAGAATAACCAGTCTCAATTATCTGCCGAAAAGAGCAAAACTAAAATAGTGATGACGCTACCGATGTTTGTTTTTTTATTATTTATTTTTTTATTTGTTTTTTTTAATTATTTGTTTTATTATTATTTTTTTTACGCTACCGATGTAGGGTACAATTTATAAATAAGATTATTTAAGATGTGTACAAGTGTAAAGTCAGGTAGAACTATTCTCAAGGGAAAAAGAGACTGATTATATAAATACAGTAAGTATGATGATATGAACCATATTGCTTTGCAGAATGACCAATTTGTAACATTATACGTCTATCTCTTACAAACGACTGTCCATCAGTTTAAGATATCTAAATATAAAAGGTCAACGCCAAGAATAATCAGTCTGTCATCTGTCGAAACAGATTATGCAGGAAGGCAAAATAGTGATGACAAGGACATGAATGGATCACTGGCAATCAGTGATGACAGCAGGCGAACATGGTGAGCATGTCTTGCTCAATCGGTTGCACCACCATTCCGACAAGTGTCAGTGAAAATAATTATTGTTTGTTGCCTAATGAGAGGCGTGAAGACACCATGATAAGGTTACGATACGGGGTTGTTGTTGATTCCGTTAGTCGCCTCTTACAACAAGCATAGTTT